ATAATATCAGATAACATCTCCATCATCGTCATCCCCATCATATTATCACCATCGTCAGTGTTTCAGCCTGCACATGATCATCGCATAATCTTGTCAATCGATCAATAACATGGCTAAGCTATCATTCTATCATTTTATTCATTATCAATTTTAGCATCATTCCACACACACACACACACACACACACACGCACACACACACACACGCACACACACACACACACGCACACACATACATACACGCAAACACACACACGCACGCACACACACACATACATACACGCACACATACATACACGCACACACGTACACAGCCGATCCATCAGTAGCGTGGATGCTGACGATCGGTGATGGCCTGCACAACTTCACGGACGGTTTGGCGATCGGCGCCTCGTTTGCAGCCAGTAACTCGGCTGGCTTGTCCACCTCCATTGCAGTCTTCTGTCATGAACTGCCTCACGAATTTGGTCGGTAGATTGTTTCATGTCATTTGTTGGTTGGCTCGTTAGCTGGTTGGTTGGTTGGTTGGTAGGTAGGTTGGTTGGTAGGCTGGCTGGTTGATTGGTTGGTTGGTTAGCTGGTTAGTTGGTTGGTTGGTTGGATGGTTGACTGGTTGGTTGGTTGGCTGGTTGGTTGGTTGGTTTGTTGGTTGGTTGGCTGGTTAGTTGGTTGGTTGGCTGGTTGGTTGGCTGGTTGGTTGGCTGGTTGATTGGTTGGTTGGTTGGATGGTTAGCTGGTTGGTTGGTCGTTGATTAAATGTGTTAATTGATTGATTGGTTGATTGATGGTTGGTTTGTTGATTGTTTGGTTGAATAATTGGTTCATTGGCAGGTTGTTTCATTTAATCGTTTGCCTTGCTGAATAGCTGGTTGCCGGTACGATCCAATTCAATTCAATTCAATAATCCTTTTATTCAGCAAACATATGCGGCATAAACATATGCTATTCGTTAGTAGACCCGAAGCATGCACTTGTAGGGCCACCCAGATCAAATAAAGACAGAATACTTCTAAATAAACACGAGTAATAAAAAAAGAGTCTCAAAAGTCTATACACACACACATATACACGCAATTATATCCATTCACTTATTTACCAAATCATCCATCCATCCGTACACATTGCAAACCATGGTTGATTGTACAGTTGGATTGATTGTACGGTTGGATTGATTGTACGGTTGGATTGATTGTACGATTGGATTGATTGTACGGTTGGATTGATTGTACGGTTGGATTGATTGTACGGTTGGATTGATTGTACGGTTGGATTGATTGTACGGTAGGGTTGACTGTACGGTTGGGTTGATTGTGCAGTTGGATGGTTTGTACAGTTGGATTGATTGTACGGTTGGATTGATTGTACGGTTGGATTGATTGTACGATTGGATTGATTGTACGGTTGGATTGATTGTACGGTTGGATTGATTGTACGGTTGGATTGATTGTACGATTGGATTGATTGTACGGTTGGATTGATTGTACGGTTGGATTGATTGCACAGTTGGATTGATTGTACGGTTGTATTGATTATACAGTTGGATTGATTGTACGGTTGGATTGATTGTACGGTTGGATTGATTGTACGGTTGGATTGATTGTACGGTTGGATTGATTGTACGATTGGATTGATTGTACAGTTGGATTGATTGTACGGTTGGATTGATTGTACGGTTGGATTGATTGTACGGTTGGATTGATTGTACGATTGGATTGATTGTACGGTTGGATTGATTGTACGGTTGGGTTGATTGTACGGTTGGATTGATTGTACGGTTGGATTGATCGTACGGTTGGGTTGATTGTACGGTTGGATTGGCAGGTTGATTATTGATGTGTTGCTTAATTAAATTGATTGTCAATTTAGTTTTGTAAATGTGTGTGAAAAGAAAAAAATCATCATCATCATTATCATCGTAACAACATCATCATCATAGCCATCATCACCATCATCGTCGTCGTCATCATCATCCTCATCATCATAATCAACACCATCATCATCAACATTACCATCATCATCATCAGCATCATCATCGTTATCTTTATCGTCGTCACAATCATCATCATCACCATCATCGTCATCATCATCACCATCATTACCATCATCATTTTCATCATCATCAACATTACCACCATCATCATCATCATCATCATCATCATCATCATCATCATCATCATAGTCACAATCATCATCATCATAATCACAATCATCATCATCATGATCAGGCGACGCTGCTTTGATGTTGTCGGCGGGATGGACGTGGAGGATGGTCCTAGTCCTGCAGTCTGTTGCCCAACTGACCGCCTTCATTGGACTCTACATCGGTCAGTCACGTTGTTTGTGTTCGTTCGTGTTGTTTGTGTTCGTTCGTGTTGTTTGTATTCGTTCGTGTTGTTTGTGTTCGTTCGTGTTGTTTGTGTTCGTTCGTGTTGTTTGTATTCGTTCGTGTTGTTTGTTTTCGTTCGTGTTGTTTGTGTTCGTTCGTGTTGTTTGTGTTCGTTCGTGTTGTTTGTATTCGTTCGTGTTGTTTGTGTTCGTTCGTGTTGTTTGTGTTCGTTCGTGTTGTTTGTATTCGTTCGTGTTGTTTGTGCTCGTTCGTGTTGTTTGTGTTCGTTCGTGTTGTTTGTATTCGTTCGTGTTGTTTGTGCTCGTTCGTGTTGTTTGTGTTCGTTCGTGTTGTTTGTGTTCGTTCGTGTTGTTTGTATTCGTTCGTGTTGTTTGTGTTCGTTCGTGTTGTTTGTGTTCGTTCGTGTTGTTTGTATTCGTTCGTGTTGTTTGTGTTCGTTCGTGTTGTTTGTGTTCGTTCGTGTTGTTTGAGTTCATTCATGTTGTTTGTGTTCAGTCAAACTATTTGTGGTCAGTCAAACTATTTGTGGATACCAGTTTTATCTGCATTGATCATTTTGTTGAATGTGATTAATTTGTTTAACATCATCTTTTTCATTGAATATTTTTAGAGATATCAAAAATACACACAAACACACACACGCACACACACACATACAAACAAACACACGCAAAGACACGCAAACACCTAAATACACACTCTCAGGGGTATCAATATCAAACTCATTTGATGAGGCGCAGATGTGGATCTTCAGCATTGCGGCCGGCATGTTTCTCTTCATCGCCCTCTCAGACGCGGTTCGTGGCTTGTGGTTAATTCTCGATCTGCTGATAAATTATTCATGTGATGAGTTTTAAATAATAACATAACTGAAGATATGTACAAACAAACCAAAAAAAACAAGCAAACCAACCAGCCAACCATTCAACCAACCAAAGAACCAGCCAATCATCCAACCAACCAGCCAGCCAACCAACCAACCAACCAAAAACCAACCAACCAACCGACGAACCAATCAACTAACCAACCAACCAATCAATCAACCAACCAAACATCCAAATCAACAAACAAACAAACGAACAGACGAACAAACAAACAAACAAACGAACAAACGAACAAACAAACGAACGAACGAACAAAACACCACGCAGGTCCCGGAGATATTAGAGCTTGTTCTCCACTACAAATCATTCCTCATCTTCCTGTTGGCCAACGTTGGAGTAGCTGTAGGCTATCTCGTTATGGTCCTACTGGCTATCTTCGAAGAAAAAATCAAAATATGATGACGATGATGACGATGATGGGGATGAAGAGGGTGTTGAATATGATAAAGATGATGATGACGATGGTGGGAGTTTAATAAATATAATGTTGATGATGGTGATGATGTCCGATGACGACTTGACGATGCTGGACCTAGGACAGCGGCAATGGAGATGATGGTGAAAAAGATGATGACGATTGGATGGTGATTACGATGATGAATGACAACTGAGCTTGTAATGACTCCTACAAATGCTGTGCTTTGGAGAAAAATAATGCTAAATGCTTTAAATTGCTGTCATAGTGTCAATGATTGAATATGAGTAGGTTGATGGCGTTAAATTAAAAAAAAAAATAGACAAATTTTTATAAGAATTTTAACAAAGGAGCGATAACATTTAATTTAACTTGATAATATTAGCTAATAATATCAACAATAATTTTAATTAATTAAATAATTAATAAAAGTAATTTCAACTATTTAATTCATTAATTTATTCATTCAATTATCATATATGTCTAATATTATTGCATCATCAATTAAATTATTTTATACTAATTAACGACCAAATTGAATTGTATTTAATTATAAATTTATTAATAAAAAAAAATAATTTAACTACGTAGAAAAGAACTTTTTGAAAAATTTCTAATTCAATTGTTTTCTTTTTGTTATGGTTTTCACGTGACTGATTTTAAAAAATGTAAATAAACATATCGTCAAGCTCTTAGCAAATTTAAATAATCATAATACAAACAGACAGACAGACAGACAGAAAAACAGACAGAAAGACAGACAGACAGAGAGACAGATAGATAGTTAGATAGCTAAATAGAAAGATTGATCAAGAGACAGGCAAGTAGACAGACACAGATAGATAGACAGACAGACATACATACAGACACAGATAGACAGACAGACTATCAAAGGCATACACTAGACAGAGATAGAGAGATAGAAAAATAGGCGGCCAGATAGATGGACAAAATTAATATTAATTTAATAATATTTCCTAACCAAAACACGAATAAGTTTAAAATGAATGAATTCATCTTGATAACGCTCCTCAGTTTTGTCATCGTTCACGGCCAAGGTGCGATTCGAATTTAAAATTTTTAAATTTCAATTTGAAAATAATTCAACAGACTTTTGTGATTGCCACATTATAAAATAATTTAACATTTTAATAAAAATTAACTATAACTGTGATAAAGCATAATTATAATTGTAATTCAATTCAATTCAATTCGTTTATTTTCTCAAAAGAGGGGTAAACTAAAAAAGCAACCAAATGCTTGTAAGAAAGTCACCCTATCCAAATAAAATCAACATTGATCAACAAAAATCAAAAATTAAAATAGTTCGACAAAAATCAAGGATTAAACTAGATCGAAATAAATCAAAAGTTATTGAACTGCAGATTCTATTCTATTAATCTTATGAAACAGAGATATAGTTCAAAATGAGTACATAAAATTAAAGTTTTGAATTTAGGATTCTATAGCATTTCAATAAATTAAATGATATGAAACCAAATATAGTTCAAAAGTAAGAGTACATACATATATACATACCTACATACGCACATACATACATACATACATGCATACATCCATACATTCATACATACATACATACATACATACATACATACATACATACATACATACATACATACATACATACATACAAAAACAGTTTTATTCAGATCATTGATATTACTCATATACAAAAATTATTCAAATAAGATTTAGATAAGGTTAAAACAACTATAGTTGCAAAAATCGCCGTTTATCAGACAATAAATAAGTTTTACAATGTTGTTTAAAAAGACGAGGTTTTGAAATAATTGTAACAGATAGAGGCAAAATTGTAAACCAAATTTTGGGTGCAAGAATAAATATGCTATCATTTAAAATTTTTAGTCTACTGAATGGTATTATATATGGAATGAAGTGACGAGTAGATTTAAAAATATGTGAAGGTTTGAGTAAAAAAATATTTGAGAAATTAGATGGTAGCAGATTATTGACAAATTTGAACATGAAAAAGGCAACAATGAAAATATGTAATTTGTATATTGTAAGAAGACCTAAAGAAGAAAAATATTCATCAACATGAGTGGTAATTTTTAAATATAATAATAGTTTTATAAATTTTTTTTGAATTCTATATAGTTAATTAGCAATTGATTATTATTATTGAACTAAAAAAAATTAGTTAAAAAAAATTCTTCAACGCTTTAATAAAAAATGTTTATAACCGCAATAAAAAATAATGATAACTAATAAATAATTATTAATTATAATTGATAATTTAGATTTGGAAATGTACTCCCACTACATGGAGGTGCCACGACCCGGAACAACACCAACAACAGCAACAGACGACTCGAACAAGACGGAATACGACGAAATTATTTCTCAACTCCTGGCCGAGAAGAAGATGGCTCTGGCGAGGATAAAGAGGGCGGAGAACAATATATTGGCTCAGGAGAAGTGGGAGCAGTCAATAAAGGTGGCGCTATATAAATGACATTATTATTATTTTTTTCGTTATCATCATTATCATCATCATCATCATCGTCGTCGTTGTCGTCGTCGTCATCATCATCAGTATTATTATTATCATCATAACAATTTTTATTATTATTTACGTTACTATTATTATTATTATCAAAATTATTATTATTACTAAAGGAGGGGAACATAGATAAGGTGATGGGGGAAGTCGAAGAGGAATACATGGACCAGGATGACAAGAAGGAGGCTAGCCATCAAAAAGAAATGGAAAAGCAAATGGTCCTGTATAAAAAAGGTTGGTTGGCTGGTTGGTTGGCTGGCTGGCTGGTTGTTTGGCTGGCTGATTGGTTGGTTGGCTGGTTGGCTGGTTGGTTGGCTGGCCAGTTGTTTGATTGGTTGGCTGGCTGGCTTGTTGTTTGATTAGCTAGTTATTTGGTTGGCTAATTGTTTGGCTGGTTGTTTGGTTGGTTGTTTGGCTGGTTGTTTGTTTAGTTATTTGTTTGTTTGGTTGTTTGTTGTCGCATTGGTAGCTCAGTCGGTAAGATAGTGTTCGTGTCTAGCGTTGTTGCACCTTGTTCGAATATTCTCCGCCCAAAACTGACACAACAAAAAATAACAGATATTATCATGGTTCAGTGTGAGAACCACCATGCATATCATTATGACGAGTACATGAAGTTAAAATCTCATTCAACTGAGTCTGACGTTATAGAAACTGAAACAGTCTTCTCGTCTAACTCATTCCAACGTTCAATAACTCTTGAAATGTAAAATCTACTTTTACTGCTGCTAACCTTCCTTTTAAAATCTTTTATTCGTGACCTCTTGTCTCAAAGACTGTCACACGCTATGCCTGTGCTATGTGTTGTTAGCGAGTTCACACAAAACATTCTATTCAAATCGTGTGGCGTGTCTGTGCTCACAGCCTCTCTGACACTGAAGTTCAGTTATGATTAAAGAGTTACACTACAAAGTTGACTAAATAAGTTTTGTAAATGAATTTATTTGTCCACTCTGCTGTTTTTTCGGATAATGTTGGTGCTGTCACTTTGGGAATGCTTGTCGTTTTAGCTGTTGTTGTTGTTGTAGCTTTAAAGTTGCTGTTGTTGTTGGTGTTGGAGTTTGTTTGTTTAGTGTGAGTAATAATGACTTTGGGAGGATGAGGTTGTTGTTGTTGTCGTTTTTGTCGTCATGTTTATGATATTTTCAATAATTCTCTGATGACCTTGTGGTTATAAGAGTTGTTAGGTTTAAAAAACTTGAACGTAAATTATGATAAAATAAAATCCTATAAAAAATATTATAACTTAATCGAATATGGTGATTAAATTCGTTACAAAGTATATTGAACAACGACGCAGATATGATGATCGTTGGCGTTACGGCTGCATTCACCTCCGTCATCCTCTCCATTTTGATTATGAGTGAGGGAATGAGTGAGTGAGTGAATGAATGAGAGAGTGAGCGAGTGAGTAAGTGAATGATTGAAAGAGTGAGTGAGCGAGTGAGTGAGTGAGTGAATAAGTGATTGAGTAAGTGAGTAAGTGAGTAAGTGAGTGAGTGAGTGAGTGAGTGAGTGTGTGTGGGAATGAGTGAGTGACTGAGGAAATGAGTGAGTGAGGGAATGAGTGAATGAAGGAATGAGTGAGTGACTGAGTGAAGAAATGAGTGAGTGAGTGAGTGAGTGAGTGAGGGAATGAGTGAGTGAGTGAGTGAGTGAGTGAGTGAGTGAGTGAGTGAGTGAGTGAGTGAGTGAGTGAGTGAGTGAGTGAGTGAGTGAGTGAGTGAGTGAGTGAGTGAGTGAGTGAGTGAGTGGTAATAATAATAGTAATAATAATAAAAATAATAATAATTATGATGATAAGAAAGATAATAATATTTATAAAATGTTATTAACAATAACAATATCATAATTCATCATAATTTATCATAATTCATCATAATTTATCATAATTCATCATAATTATAATCAAAATCATCTCACAGAGTGTTTCATTGACTGGGAAGTAGGTGAATAGAATACATTTTTTCTCCATAATAAATCAAGATTGAAATAATTTAATTTTATAAATGGAATAATAATAAAAAAAAGTAATAAATTCGTCATAATATTTAGAAAAATTAATTTTAATTTAATTAAATAATTAAATTATTTGCTTTTGCAGTTCACACAAAATACATCGATGAATACCGTACGTATAAAACATGATGGATGATGATGGTGGTGATGGTGAAGATGATGTTGCTGATGATGATAATGATTATGATGGTGATGATGGTGATGATGATGTGGGTAATGGTGATGATGATGGGATGGTGGTGGGGATGATGTTGTTGATGACGTTGCTGATGATGATGATTGTGATGATGATGGTGGTGGTGATGATGATGATAGTGATGATAATGATGATAATGCCTAAAATGTTAATGCTGATGATGATAGCTAATTCCTATAAAATATATGACACAGATAATTTTAAATTAATAATTCTCATTAATTTGTATTTATTTGCCTTATTTATTTATTTAATATTCCATTTATTTATATTTCATCAATATTCCTACAGAAGCATCACTAGCAAACACAGCAGTGCATATAACCACATCTGAAGAAACGCATCGCACTCACATCGCGTGAATCTGATGGGCCGGGATCTCCCCGCGATCGAACCCGGTCACTACAACAGCGGTGCCAGCCACATTACTGCTCCACCATCGCTTCGCCCAATCGTAAATAGTACGAAGTACTGTTTGTTATATAAGAAAAAGAAAATTTCGGATAATTTAAAAATATTGATAATTTTTGGAATAATTTCTGCCAGCCATCACTCCCACGCCGAGCAAAGCTGACCTCCAGGTCGAGATTAAGCGTCCCCCAGGCGAAGGTCCCAAGTTGACCGGTTGGTTAGATGGTTGGCTGAATAGATGAATGAATGAATGAATGGATGGATGAATAAATGAATGAATGAATGAATGAATGAATGAATGAATGAATGAATGAATGAATGAATGAATGAATGAATGAATGAATGAATGAATGAATGAGTAAGTGAGTGAGTGAGTGAGTGAGCGAGTAAGTGAGTGAGTGAGTGAATGAATGAATGAATGAACGAACGAACGAATGAATGAATGAATCGTATCGTAAAGTATCGTATCGCTGGACTTATGGTACAGCCACTGTCATGAATTGACTTCAGACGCGCTTTCTTCACTTCCCTGGCTGTGCCAAGTTGAATAAATGATTATAATCATCAATAATCATTTAGACGCTTTTTGAAGTCACTTCAACTTATGGTGTTGAAATTCTTCAAGTCAGCAGGCAACGCGTTCCATGTTTGGACTGCTGATACAGAAAATATTTTTTTTCCGAAATGTTAAGATTTGAATTTTGGAACTACAATTACGTGGGCGATTGCAGTTGAACCCTGTATTGAGTTCCTGAAACTGGTTGGATCTGCTCCCTCAGGTCACCGGCCAAACAATCTCTCGCAAGTAGAGCTAGTTTAAATGTTGCACTTTCTGCTACTCACATGCCAAACCAGTGCAGCTCCTGCCTGATGTAATGAAATGTTGGATTAAACTTTGAGGCGCAAGCAGCCAGTCTGGCAGCGCATTCAAAACGGCTTGGACATCATCCTGCAGTCACGAGTTGATCCCACACATCATCACATTGCAGAAGTCAATCCTGGTGCAGACGAAGTTGCAGATTAGAGCTTTTGCTAACTCAACTGTCAAACATCGTCCATAGCCCTTAGTTTGTGTAGTTGAAAAAAAAAACATTGTCCGAAAAGTTGATTGACATGTGATTTCATCGAGGGATCTGGAGACAATGCAACATCGAGATTCATTACCAGACTTTTTAAGTCATTTACCCGACCAAGTTCACTTTACCTGTACTGAGTTTATTGTTGGTCATCCATTGGCCTACTGCATCAACTGTACTCCTGACGTCTGTAGACAGATGAAGAGGTGAGTTTGTTGATCCAGATGCATACAGCTGGATGTCATCGGCAGCAGATACCTGAGGATTTTACAACCTTGATGAGGTCTGCTGTCCGAAGTGTACAATATGAACAGCAGAAGGTCAAGGGCTAAGCTCCGCAAAATACCACAAATTAATTTTGATGTGGCAGTACCGGAACCCTTTATTGACTACTTATAATGACGAGTGAACAAATTAACGAACGATGTGAATGGATTGTGAGAGGGTGAATCAGATTTGTCGATCGATTAATGACTTGACTGACTGACAGTGATATAATCTAATTAGATGTTGAACCTTCGTTTACTTGTTTTGCTGAGTGTCTGTCGGTCGCACTGTTTCAGCAACAAATTATATAAGTAGTTCAAATTTTTGCTCCATTGAATAATTTATAAATGTCAGAGGGATGCTTCAGTTGCTCATCTTCAATTTTTTAATTTTTTTCATTTTCAGCATCTCTTTCCTCTTCCTCCTCATGATTTTTCAGTTTGTGAATTTTATGACCCTAACTTTTTCAGTCCCAAGGTCTAGACGGTCTCCTCTCATCCACGTCATGACGCCAACAACCAGTCAAGTAGTGCCAGCACCAGCAAAAGTGATCAGTGTCCTACCACCACTTCCACAAAAAAGGCTCGGCATGCATTCACCAATGCTACAACTTCCAAACCAACCACTTTCAAACCATCCACTTTCCAACCAACCACTTTCAAATCAACCACTTTCAAACCAACCACTTTCAAACCATCCACTTTCCAACCAACCACTTTCAAATCATCCACTTTCACCCCATCCACTTTCACCACATCCACTTTTGCGACCACAACAAAGAAGGAATCATCCAGCAGCTGCTGCAGCTGCTGCAGCGGCTGCAGTCAGAGGTTTGTGGATATGTGAATGGTCTAAATAGAGGATTGTATATGATAGTAATTATTATTATTTTTATTCACATCTACATATGTAATATTTTTAATCTAGTTAGTGTGTGTAACATCTAATCATTATTGTTGCGCTGGTTCTGTCTGTATGAATGGTACAGGTATAACATGAATATATGTTTGGAGATGATCCGCCCATCATACATCCATCTCCATCTTCATCCATCTATCTACATCTTCACCCATTCATCCATCTATTTCATTTTCAACCATTCATCCATCTATTTCATCTTCACCCATTCATCCATCTATCTACATCTTCACCCATTCATCCATCTATCTACATCTTCACCCATTCATCCATCTATTTCATCTTCACCCATTCATCCATCTATCTACATCTCCACCCATTCATCCATCTATTTCATCTTCACCCATTCATCCATCTATCTACATCTTCACCCATTCATCCATCTATTTCATCTTCACCCATTCATCCATCTATCTACATCTTCACCCATTCATCCATCTATTTCATCTTCACCCATTCATCCATCTATCTACATCTTCACCCATTCATCCATCTATTTCATCTTCACCCATCCATCTATCCGTCTATACTCATTTTTCCATCTCTATTTTCACCCATTCATTCCTCATCATCTCCATTCATCATTCATCCATTATTCATCTTTTTTCATCCATCCATCCATCCAACTATCTTCATCTCCACTCATTCATCCATCTACATACCCACTCGCACACCCATCCATCTCCACCCCCTCGAAGGGACTGCCCTCTCTCAAACTCCAGTTCCTAAAATCAGTAAGGTCTCATTCAAATAGTGAATTGTAAATGATACTACTATCAGTATTGCAAACACTGAATATTATTTTTTTTTACAATTTCAACACTTTGCACTCAGCTATTGCAGTAGTTCTTTTCCTAATAACAACACTCACTTTCACACACACACACACAAACCTCACACACACACACAATCCTCACATACACACACACGCACGCACACACGCACACACACATAAAAACACATACCCACAAACACACACACACACACACGCACACACACACATAAAAACACACACACACAAACACACTCAAACACACATTTACACACCCACATGTACATACTCGCAAAGCCTTCATAACTTAACACGTATATGTCTGTTGATGTAGCTAATATTAATGCACATTAGAGCTAACAATAGTAATAATAATAATATCAATAATAATAATATATAATTTAGAAAATAATAATAATTATTATAATATCAATAATAATAATATTAATATATAATATAGCAAATAATAAAAATAATTATAATACCAATAATAATAATATTAATATATGATATAGCAAATAATAATAATAATAATATTAATAATAATATTTTACAAAGTTATTTAATAATGACTGTTCAATTTTTAATGATACGATTTCCTCTAGCTGATCCCAAATTAGTTGGTACGTTATTGCCAGAATTACTATCACTACTTTATGTTACTGCTTCTGCTACTACAACTACTACTACTGTTACTACCACTACTACTACCTACTGCTGCAACCCACAAATGCCAATACTACTTATTAATATTTGCAACTCATGCAGCCTGCTACCACTACTACTACTACTATTACAACAACAACAACAACAACAACAACAACTACTACTACTACTACTACTACTACTACTACTACTACTACTACAACTACTACTATTACTATTACTACTGCTGCTACTACTGCTACTGCCGCGGCTGCTACTACTACTCATTAATCTTTTCAGCCCTAGCTCATTACGCCAAGAACAACTGGGCCCAAATGACCAACGAGCAGAAGAGGCACAGTGAGAGATTTTTATTCATTTTTTATAATTGGAAACTTTTTTATTTCTCGAAAGCTAAAATCAAATAATGGAAATAAATTACGATAGAATGTTTATTTTTAAATAAAATTAAATGAAATAATCGAATAATCGAATCAAATTAAGTGTACAATTCGCCCATCCTCATTGTCAATGAGGTTATGTTCGTTTAGGGCGTTCAGATGAGTTATATTTGAATAGCAGCAAGCGATGTTTCTGTCAGAGTAAATTGCCTATGACGAGCTAATAGCCCTGTTAATAATTATTATTATAACTATTATACCGTAATCAATGATAATAATTATTAAAATTATTATAACATAATTAATAATAATTAATTAAGTTCAAATAAATTTATTAAGTGTACGTATAGTTAGTAATAATAATAAAAATTGCATTCGTTACATTCAATTGAATGTGATGATTTAAAAAGATATCAATTTCTAAACTTTCAGTATCGTGTAATTAATTAATCAATCAATTAATCAGATAATTAACTCAAGAATAATTATTTCTTCATCTTAATGAAATGTCTTCATCATAATTTCTATTACTATCACACACGTAGGCGTGAAAGCGTTGATGACTCCAGAGCGTTTGTGGCACATTTATTAACAATATATTTATTTTTAATTTAATGACAATTTATAAATATATATAATATAATGTAGGTTATACATTCATAGATAGATAATCATGATAATAATAATAATAATTATTATTATAATAATAATAATAATAATAATTATTATTATTATTATGATAATGCGACGATGATGATGATAACGATGATGATAACGATGATGGTAATGATATTATAATAATGGAATAATTGTAGTAAATAAGAGAAGACTGATTAACTGGAACAAAATAAGCAAAGAGGATCGACAAAAAAGTATTATTATTATTATTATTATTGTGGTTATAATTATTATAATTAATATTATCGTTGTTGTTGTTGTTATTATTATTATTATTATTTATTATTATTTAATATAATTTCTCTCATATTCTTACACTGCCATAGTCTGGGATGATTACATCGCAAAGAAACGTCGGTTGAACTTTCTTTTAGATTTCATAATTATATGCGAAATAATAATAATAATTATTATTATGATAATTATTATTATGATGATCATTTTGGTGATAATTATTATTAAAATAATGTGATGATGATGATAACGATGATAAACGATGATGATGATGATGATGATGATAACGATGATGATGATGATTTAGTTGAATCGTTCTAGACATCTTTCAATATTGCTCATTCATGTATGAACGAATATCTCGTTAGCCATGTGTGGGTTAAAGTGACCATGGTCAGTCGCACTTGATATGATGGGATGCTTAATAAACAACTCGATCGGGGGGTCATCCTGTATTCATTTTCATGTTTGGGCTTGAAGCGGATAAAATATCAATGCATCGTACCTTTTGTATGGTGTCATATGCTATAGTCTCGTGTTTTTTTTTGATTGATATAATGAATATAATATAAATAAAATATAAATAATTGGAATAACTATTTTTACTAGGCAAAAGTCTTGTTAGATGAAGTCAAAACCAAGATTAAACCATTATTTTTTGATGGTGACGACGACGAAGATGATGTTGATGATGATGTTAACGATGATGATGATAATGTTGATGATGATGATGATGTTGATGATAATGATGATGATGTTGGTGATGTTGATGATGATGGTGATTGCGTTGTGAAAGATGTTGGTGATGAGTTGGACGAATATGGAGCTGATGTTTTTGTGGACGGTGATGTTTTTTATGAAGATGAACATGATGAACATGATGAACCTGATGAACTTGATGAACCTGATGAACTTGATGAACATGATGGACATGACAAACATGATGATGGAGGTTATAAATTATTGTAATGTAAGTTTTGAGTTTTCTAGTGACAAAAACATAAAAATTAAATTTTTCATTTATTCAATCGGAAAATTAAAGTAGTTAATTTATTAAATCTTTTTTAAAACGTAGAAAACTGATATCATTTGATTGAGCTTCTTTCTGATTGATCAGATAATGGTCAAAAAGTTCAAGGGTTAAAAGGTTAAAGGTCAATTTTTCTTACCATAACTCAAAGGATTGTTTTGCTGCAATTAACCGCTTCATTCGCATTCGAAACAGATGGAATTGAACAAAACTAGAAATCCAGAAATAAAATATCCAAGTTAATGATGATTTGAAAGAGCTGAACTAGAAACTAGAAATCCAGAAATAAACTATCCAAGTTGATGATGATTTGAAAGAGCTGAACTAGAAACTAGAAATCCAGAAATAAACTATCCAAGTTGATGATGATTTGAAAGAGCTGAACTAGAAACTAGAAATCCAGAAATAAACTATCCAAGTTGATGATGATTTGAAAGAGCTGAACTAGAAACTAGAAATCCAGAAATAAACTATCCAAGTTGATGATGATTTGAAAGAGCTGAACTAGAAACTAGAAATCCAGAAATAAACTATCCAAGTTGATGATGATTTGAAAGAGCTGAACTAGAAACTAGAAATCCAGAAATAAACTATCCAAGTTGATGATGATTTGAAAGAGCTGAACTAGAAACTAGAAATCCAGAAATAAACTATCCAAGTTGATGATGATTTGAAAGAGCTGAACTAGAAACTAGAAATCCAGAAATAAACTATCCAAGTTGATGATGATTTGAAAGAGCTGAACTAGAAACTAGAAATCCAGAAATAAACTATCCAAGTTGATGATGATTTGAAAGAGCTGAACTAGAAACTAGAAATCCAGAAATAAACTATCCAAGTTGATGATGATTTGAAAGAGCTGAATCTATAGAACGCGCACAGAATTAACATGAGCTAAAATGTATCATAAGATTACTTTATAAACATATCTACAAACATGTGTAATATTGGCTATGAGATATGGTGAAATGGTTAAGGTACGTGGTATAGCTAGCTCAGTGTCTGGCTTCGAATACAAGTATATCTCAACCTATTACATGCACGTGTGTGTGTGTTTATATGTGTGTGTGTGTATGTGTGAGTATGTAAGTGTGTGTGTTGATTGATTGATATCTCCGTGATTAATTTGAAAATACTAAAAAAAAAAAACAAAAAAATGATGGAGAAAGCTGAATTGACTGAACAATGAACATATTTTAAAGTAACTTTTTTGCTAATTAACACATTTATCTAACAGTAATTTGAAAGTTTTACCCAAAAAACTGAATTAAAATTTTTTTTAGATTAATGAAAAGAAAAATGAGATTTTGTTTCACATGGTGACGTCGAGAATAACCTAAAAATAAATATTTACAATAAATAATGATAGTAACAATTTGATTAAATTGTAAAAGTTTTAAAACCTATTCTTCGGACTTTTTATTTAATTTAAATATTTATTAATAATAACATTTATTGAACAACAAACAAGTTTTTTTATTGTGGAATAAATTGCGTTAAGTCACTGTTAAATGCACTCAATAAAATGTTTAGACATGTACAAGGTGTCTTAATAAAATTTTATGATTCTCTAAAATAAATCAACAAAATTAAATATATTAAAATTTTAAATTATTAATAAATATAAATGAATATTTATTTAATTAACAGTTGAATATATATTTCTGAATAAAAGGCCTTTTATGATCAGATGATTGAATGATGGGAGTTGTTACTCCTCTTTCATTCATCTTCTTGTACTTCAGCACAGTTGTTATAATCCACGCCAATGAAGGTAATAAGAGAGATTTTAGTACACACACACATACACACACACCACACACACAATCACAGACAACACACTCACAGACAACACACTCGCACTTCACTTCATTCACAGCACATACACACAAACACACACCACCATCATTACACACAGTGGACACAACACACACACAAGCAACACACACACACACACAGGCAACACACACACACAGGCAACACACACACACCACAGTCTTCCATATAGCCTGTCACGAAGCATGTGAACTCTTCTTGGATGGCAAACAGTTCAAAGTGCAACCACCGCGAAACGACATGGCGTCGGCATTTGAAGGCATCTCCCACGTCAATGTATACCATACAATTCGAAATTTAGTCACAATTTCGTTTAAAATGCAAACCGAATTAATTATTTAACTATTCTATGGGGTATTATTTTATTATTTAATTTAATTACTTATTTATTTTATGATTTGAGTAATTTAAAAAACTTAATTTTTCCCACAATTCCTCCGTAAGTATTGTTCATAATTACCAA